ACCAGCAGCTTTGCTCCAATGGCTCTATTTGGCTTGGGGCTATAAATAGAGATAGAGCTCGGGCTTGGGCTGGTTGCTGAGCACCTTTAAGCCTTGGTGGCTTGTATAGGTGTGCTTGGGAGCCCTCTAACTCACTTGTGTTTGATAGTGATCATCCGATCGAGTGAGTGATTCTAGTGCAATTGCATCGTGAGGTTGCATCGAGTGGCACTAGGTGATCGAGTTGTAAACCGGTGGTGCTTGTTACTCTTGGAGGTTGCCACCTCCTAGATGGCTTGGTGGCTCATGACTCCGTTGAAGCACGTGGGAAGATTGTGCGGTGCTCTGAAGGAGGATTTGTGAGGGGGATCGTGCTCACCCCGCGAGGATCGCAAAGAGCAACTCTAGTAGAGCGTGTCATTGAGTTACCCTCACTTTTGGGGTAGGTTCTTGCGGTGCCTGACGTGCAGGCTTAGCGGGTGATGTCAATTAGCCGCCGAACCACCAAGTGAACGGTCGACACAACGGGGACTAGCGTGTTGGCAAGCACGTGAACCTTGGGATAAAATCATCGTGTCATCCTTGTCTTCCCGTTAGTTTGCATCATCATTACACAAGCTTGTATTTACTTTCATATACTTGTGCTTGTGTAGTTGTTCTAGTAATTAGTTGACTTATGTAGTTGGCTAGTTACCTTCTTGCTTGTGTAGCATAGAAGTAGCTCTCTTACGTGACTAATTTGGTTTGAGTAACCTTATTAGTCACATTGTTTAGTTTGTGTAGCTAAGTAATTTGTGCTCTATAATTTAGCTTGTGTAGGCTTGTTATTGAGCATTGCTAGTGAGCTTAGGAGCTTTGTGCTTTTGCTTACTAGAATTGTGTAGGAGCTTCCCCGTTGCTTGAAGTACTAGTGCATAGGTTTGTGTGACCTTGCTCTAAAATTGTTTAGGTGAGCTCTAGCTAGCCCGACACCTTTGTTGCCTCATTAGGATCTTTATAAGATGCTTGAGAATATAGATAGAGGGGTATAGTCTTAGCTAGACCGTTAGTTTTAATTCCACATTTATTTCGGTTAGCCGACGCGATTAAATTTTACAAAGGACTATTCACCCCCTCTAGTCCGCCATCTCAACCCTACAGAAAGGGGCAGGGGCAAAAAGGATATTTTACCACCCTTCTCTGCTCAAAATCTAGAAATTAATATTTTATTATGAGTGTCTACCAGCAAATTTGTCAAGAACCAGAGTGTCCTCCAACAAATCGCTTCATTTTGGATGTCCAGCAGCAAAGCATGGTCACTTTTAGTGTCCAAAAGCCAATTTTGCCTATATATTATGGGACATCTATGGTTCATACGGAAGCAAGCATATATAAATTGGTATATGAGATGTGAGGTATTGCATATGGAATGGTCTCATTTAAAGAGCTTGCTATGAAATCAATGTTACTGAAGATGGTTTCACTTCATAGAATTCAATCTATGCTTTTTGTTGATTCAAGTCATGGTATGACTTGGTTTGGCTTGTGAGGGTGAAGATAGCAAGGAAAAGTCTTTGAAGGACCAAGCATAGGTGAAGGGCAAGCGACGGCTTAGGCGACCGAATGACCATGGCTGTGGTGAAGAAGAAAGTGCTTGCATTTAGTCATGTCACTAATCAAGCTAAAGGAGGTTATATTATGAGGAGAATCAAATCATTGTTGGATCATTTGATGAAAGTGACTTGGTGCATTTGGATTCATTCCACCAAGTCACATGCTTAAGATCACTATGCGTAAGCAACAATCAAAATGAACACGTTGGCATTCTCTATTGTTGAAGATTAAAAGATATGGCTTGGGTTCAAAGAAGGTTAACTCAAGCGGTTTAAATTCGATTTTATTTAAACTTGAGTTTATAGGTATGTCGTACTATTAAGAGGGATGCAACATGATGATAGTTGATTGTCTCAAAGTGCTCAAGTTAACCCATGTGAGGTTTGAGAGAAGAGTGGCAAAAAGTGCTAACTTTGTGTGCTGTTGAAGGCAATACCGGAGGGTCCGGTATTGAATACCGGAAGGTCCGATATGAACAACACACATAACTTTTGGCTAGAATTTCTAGGCAAGGGTGCTCTGTTGAAATTAACCTATGAGCATACTGCCAGTTCATACCAGAGGGTTTGGTAAGAATCTGACAGCTCCAATGGCTATAAAACGGCTAGTTTTTTTAGTGTGGGCTATAAATACCCCCAAGCCTTCCCCTTTGAGGGATGCTAATTCCTAGCACTTCTATACTCGTCTTAGAGCCTTGTGAGTCACTCCCCACTCCCCCTCTTTGTGAGATTGCTTCTAAGTGAGAAATCCAAGTGGTGGGTTGAGTGAGATTTGAAATGGTGAACAAAAGAGAGCAAGCCAATCCTTGAGCATTTGTGGCATTCATCGATCTCGTGATTCATATTTTTTACTCTTGGAGCTTGGCTCCTAGATGGCTAGGAGTCCCTAGTGAGCAGCCAAGGATTGTGGTGTGCTACGGCAAGTTTGTGAAGGCCCGATCTCGCCTTCGCAAGGAAAGGGATCAAGCTAGTGGATCGAGGAAAGTGGTTGAAAGAGACCACGGTTAGAGTGGATCTCGGAGTGGTCACTCATTGCCTCCTCAATGGAGAGTAGGACTTGAGGGAGTCCAAACTTTGGTAAAATAAATATCGTGTCTCATTGCATTTTGAATTGCTATATTTGTTTCCCTCTCGATCTACTCGTGTTGTGATCTTTAGTGTGCAGGGTGTACTCATATTTCACCTTTTGGAAACCCCCTGCACCTTTGGATCAAAGTTTGAGCCAAGAAGAAGGAAGTTCATCGAGGAACTTCATTGACCCATGAATACCAGACCCTCCTGTATTGCATACCGAAGCCTCAGGTATTGCAGAGTCTAGCTACAACTTTGCAATTCTGTGATTAATTAATTTGTGCTACAGGTGTTTGGCTCCTAGGGTTATTTAGTATCCTTGATGTACTTAGTGCTTCACTTAGAGGGGTTGTTTTACTCTGATTTGGGATTTCCAAGAAATTAGAAATTCCCTTCTAACGGCTTCTGCATTTTAAGTTACAAGTTTTCAAAAATGCCTATTCACCCCTCCTCTAGGCGACATCCTCTATCCTTTTAGAGATTAAGAGTTATAAAGCAATTGTGAGCAAGCCAAACCTTTAGCATTTGTCGAGCTTCGTCATACTTCATGAAGCATTTGTTACCCTTGGAAGGGAAGCCTCCTAGACGGGCTAGTCATCGGTCAATGAGCTCCCAGCTTGTGGTGAGCCACAGGAATTTTGTATTGCCCTTTGTGAAGCTAGCGGAAATCCTTAAGTTCGACCTTTGTAGTTCTCTTGAGAAGAGGTGGGAGTTGAAAGGGACTCTAAGCCTTTGTGGCTTCATCAAAACTAGGACGTAGGCAAGCTTTGGTGGCTCCGCTGAGCCTTGGGGGTAAATCTCACGTCTTGCCTATTGTTGTCGTGACTCGAGATCACCTCTTTTTTTGTAGTGAAATCTTTGCTTTGCATTTGATCTACTCGGTTATGTGTGTTTGTGTGTGTAGGTACTTCGTAAACTTGCTACTGTATATATCTCCAAACACAACTATAAGTTTGGTTTGTGCTTGAACTCAATATGCATAGTGAAATTCGTTCTATTCCGTGTTGCACGTAAGTTATGCATAATCACGTGGAAGTTCCACGGTATGCTAATTCAAGTTTTGTTTACTGTTAATTTCCAAAAATGCCTATTCACCCCTCTCTAGGCGACATCAAGGTCCTTCCACCCTCTTTGCTAGGGCTCCTCCGGGTCCAACTTGTCCTACAAATCACGGCTCCTCCTGGCTCCCCGTTTATTCGAAGAAGAGCGAGAAAAGAGCTCTGTGCTATAATAACCACTACAGTGCTCTTGGAAACAGAGACAGAGCACTTTGGTGCCGTGCCAAATAGCCCCTAAGTGCAGAAAGACTAAGAGTTAAGGTAAGGAATTGTTGGAGAAAAGTTTTTTCTTTCTAATTTGTTAAAAATAGAATTGAGAGTGGGTTTTGGAAACTTTCTAAGATCTCTTGCATCTGGCAAGGCTGAAGCTGGAGCCCAAACAACTGGAGCTGAAATGGCTCAAAGAACCCTGTTACATGGAGAAATTTTGATATTTGATCCTCAATACGCTCGCATCTCTATATTTGACACTCAACGCACGCCTTTGGAAATTTAACCTTAGGTACACTAACTCTTTTGATCTAAGGGATTTGCTCATTTTCTATTTTCAATACTCTCTCATCTTAACTTAGGCCACGAGAAAAGATTAAATTACCCCTGCCCCTAAAAGAGGAGACGAGACACACCTTTCCCCCGCCCCCAACCTCGTTCGCATGGGCTGGTACATGCCCCGGTGTCACGACACGTTGTGGGGGCAGTAGAGGAGGCGACAAGGAGCTAGCAACCGGAGGAGACGACTAGGGCCCGATGCGTAAAACCCTAGGATGTCGAGCACAACCTCTTGAGTAGCAGAGTGGTGAGATAGAGAAGTAGAGGAGGAAAGCGAAGGCTGAGGGAGTCCTCGTGACTCGCAGGATCTCGAGAGCAGACATGACTAATTGGATAGACTTATTTTGTATGGGGTAATTTGGTCTTTTCCTATAGCCTAAATTAAGAGGAGATAGTATTGAAAATAAAAAATAGGAGAATTCTCTTAAATCACAAGAGTTCGTATGTCTAGGGTTAATTTTTTTAAAAGCGTGTTAATTAAGTGTTACGTTCTGTCCTACGACACTATTTTAATAGTCTTTTCAGCGAACAAACAGTATTTTTCTCTCACGATAAATTAACATAAACATCAACATACGTCAAATTTCAGCGAAACGAGACCTGATGGTCAAATATTGAAATTTCTCTTGCCACGGGGGCCTAAATAAGCAGCTCCGAAGCAAACTCCACGACTCGGCCTCCTCTTCCTCGCACCATCCCGCCGCCGCCGCCTTCCATCCTCCACCACCCCGGATCCCGCCGCCGCGCCGCGATGGAGGAAGACGACGAGTTCGGCGACCTCTACACCGACATCCTCATCCCCACTCAGACCCCCGCATCCACCTCCGCGCTATCCAACCCTGTTCCAGTTGAAACCCTACCCCGCCAGCCTCCAAACCCTAATCCTACCCCCTTGGCGGCGGCGGCGGCGGAGGAGGAGGACGACGACTGGCTCCTAGGAGGGAGCGACCCCATACCCGGGGTTGACCCGATCGGCGATTGGGCCGACGAGGACGACGATGGAGACGAGCCCGCACCTCCCGTGAAGCGTGAGGTTGCTGCGCCCGCGAAGCGGCCCACCTCTGCGGATGATATCGATCCGCTCATGGGGGGTGGTGCGGGCGATTCCGGGCCGGCCATCCCTGGGCTTTCGTCGGCGGCGGCAGCTGGTGCGGCCGGGAGCGACGAATGGGACAGCGATAGCGAGGACGACATCCAGATCGTGCTCAACGAGACCGATGGCCGCCGGGGGCTCGGGGAGGATGAAGGAGACGACGAAGACGGTGAGGACCTCGTCATCGTCGCCGATGGACCACACATCACCGGGATGGAGGAGCAGGATTGGGGAGAGGACCCAGCAGCGGCAGGGGCAGAAGGAGAGCGAAAGGACGGAGGTGAGCCTGGTAAGACGGTGGCGGCACCGGGAGGAAGGATCGGGTACAGTGGCGGCGGCCCAGGGTTCCATCAGCAGCACCATTCCATGTTCAAGGTCAGTTATTTGGGCCAAGAAGCCGTACGATGCGCTCTGGCCACCCCTGCAGAGGGAGACGGCGTAAACCTGGTTGCAACTCACTATCCTTTATGTTGTACTGTGTTACTTTGTGGAAATTTCTTCTCAAGTTTAGTTTCTTTTTACAATCCTTTGCGTACCATTCCACAATGTAACTGTAAATGCATTATTAGCATGGTCTATAAAGGAAGAAAGGAAGAAAAATTCAATGACATTGCATTTTGTATTGGATGCCTCCATATAGCATTTTCAAACGTTCAGCCCTTGAAACGGGTTATCTACTTATCTCCATGCTGGAGTAACTTTCATGATGATAATGTTGAGGCTGATTGGTTTCTATGTCGCATGCCAGTAATGGAATTTCAGTCTGCAGATGCAGATGCGATCTGTACAAAGCTGACCGTTTTGAAGAATGATGCATTGAAGCCACCATTTCACCTGTACAGAGGAGTGCAGCTGGTCCAATTCACTAATATCCGTTGCGGTCTAATAAGAGATAGGGGCACATGGTAGTTGAAATTGTCCAGCTCAAAGTGCATTACAATCCTTAAGTTGCCATCAATCCAAATCTTCAACAGTGTCCCAAAAAAATAGCTATTTGGCTATTTATACTGAGTTATAATGCTACAATGCAATATGTGCCCAAGTTAGTCTCCATGATGGCAGGTTTAGAATTTAGTAGCTGAGTTGGTTTTGTGAGTGTTGGTCTCAAATTGACAATTTGCTGCTGATGGATATGTTTCCTTTTCCCTTCTACCGACGGAAATACGGCCCTGCTTACAACTGGTGCCAGCCTGATGAACTATACTTAGCCTTACAGACAACCTGGTCATTCTAAGGGGGTTGTATATGCCACATACACGCAAGTGGAGCTAAATGATTTAGAAGTAGCTGTAACTAACATAAAAGCAACAACAACAAGCCACATGTCCCAAGAAGGTCGGGGTAGGCTAGAGATGAAACAAAATCCGCAAAGCAAGTTGGTGTAGCCTTTTGTTCCAAGGAGCTGAGATGTTGCATTTTTTGCTAATCTGTCACCAGCATTTTATTCTGGGAATTTTGTTTCGTGTGGATTGTTGCATGACTACTCATGCTCATATCAAACTCCAATAGGGTCAATAAAAGTTTATGCCGTACACATGTCTGGATAATATCTTAATTTTGTTGTTGAGTTTTCTAAGACAATTTGCATGGACTTCATTTTTCTTTGCTTTTTGGAAGGAAAGTTGTTTTTTTCCTACAAAATGTGTATGATATTGGATAATATCTAAGATAACAGTCCTAATTTATTATTTTCATGTAGTTTTCTTGAAATTACAATATCTTTTATGCCCGGAAAACAGTATATGCGCACAGAAGTGTCAGTTTAATATTGACATAGCAGTCAAAGTTTGTTTCATTGACAGCATGATATATATATCTATTTATTTGTTATCAGCTATTCCCATGGCTTGCTTGTTTGGCAAACTGATGATGTTTATCTATTTGAACATTGTTTGCTCATGCAAGAACCGTTCACCTTTTTTTTGTTTCTTTTACATGAATAATAATTTCTCATGTTCTTTCTGTTGAATGGCTGCCAATAACTGCTCTCCCATTTTCTTCGCTGTACTTTTTGGCCTGCCCCAACTTGCTTGGACCAAAAGGCTTTGTTGCTATACTTTTCGAAGTAAGTTTATGTCCGCCTTGTTGATTATTTCTTCTTGTTGCAGTATGTACGCCCTGGCGCTCCTTGTGCTTCAGTAGGTGGGGTACCTGGTGGTCCTGTTCAGTTCCGCCCTCCTGGGCCTTCAGGCCCTTTCTCTGGTCGTGGTAGAGGTGACTGGAGGCCTGCTGCTGGTCGAGGCATGAATAAAAGTTTTCAATCAGGCTATGGAATCACTCCATGGGGTGGTTCAGGGCGCGGTTTTGGTGGTGGACTAGATTTTGCACTTCCTCCTCACAAGTAAGTTAACTGCTACCAGCAATTAATATACTTTAGAGTTTGGAGTACAGTATGCCATTTACTTTCAGTTGTTTTGCCCTTGCAAATGTCTTACTGATTGTTCCATCTTTAATAATACTTCTGAAGTAGTTGCTACAAAATTCTACTGTATGGCTAAGTCCATAACAGGCAGTATATAAACACTTGTGTGAAGGTTGTACAACCAACCACATGGTTGAGGTTATAATTGCTGTTGGAACCAAGTCTTCCACGAGCTGCAAAGTGCGCCCTGTGCAGACTAGCATGGAGCATATGCAGTTATTAATGACTACATTACAATCATGTGATTATCAGTGAGCACCGGATGATGGGGATGTGCTTGCTGGATTATAAATGCAATTTAGATTCTAAAGCATGTAGAATCACAAATAGCACTGTACTGGATGCATGTCTCATTTTCTGGTCTAGGATGAGATTAAGAGTTCTGGGCATCTATGTTGTTCTTTCATTTGCAATCAGATTACAATCCTAGTTTAGACTCATTCATCATTTTCTTGTTCTAAATATATATATATATATGGGCGGTTCTGGTTTGTGCTCATTCATTGTTAATTTACAGTAAAGACTGATTATTATTTGAATTAGGACAATATTTGATATTGACGTGGAAACCGCATTTGAGGAGAAGCCATGGAAATTCCCTGGTGCTGATATTTCAGACTTTTTTAACTTTGGCCTTGATGAAGAGAAGTGGAAAGATTTTTGCAAGCAGCTGGTGAGTCCATTTCTTACATTCGGCAGTGCATATAGTTTGTTTACTATATATAAGCAATCAATTAAACAAGAATTCTTTTATCGCCAGGACCAACTTCGACTAGAATCCACAATGAAATCTAGAATACGGGTGTACGAAAGTGGCCGTTCGAACAGGTTAATTATGATCCCATTATTGGAAAACAATATCCTGCTCTATCTGTAGTGATGATGAATAATTTTTTATCTGCATCCAGGATTATGATCCAGATTTGCCGCCAGAGCTAGCGGCTGTGACTGGTCATCTAGACAACTCTGCTGACAGTCGCAATAAAACGGATAACGGCCATACAGATTTTAGTGCCCAAGGAAGAGGTCCGGCAAACGTGCGGACACCAGTGGTATTGAGTTTCCCTCCATCTCTAGAATTTTACATCTGATTCATGTTTGCTTTTGAATCTGTTTTGTCGTGGTATGGTTTCTCACATTATGGGCTTATGGGTGTAAGATAGACCATTACTTACGATTATTGACATATCATGTTGTCCGTATGCCACATATTTTTGTTCCACACAATTTATCAAGAGTTAACAGCGTACCCCAACTTGCTTGGGACTAAAAGGCTTTGTTGTTTTTTTTTAATAGTTATTGGCAACAGAGCAAACATGAATTTATACCATTAACAACCATCCATCGATGTCCTGTTTAACTACTAGTATGCGGGCTTGATCCTACAAAATCAATACATATTCCATAGCCTTTTCTTCGCTTGGAGGCTTGGACACGCGTGGTTGTTAATGTTTGGTCCTAGGAGTATTTTTCTTGTAGCTTTGGACACATGCTGTTTATTTTTCTTCAATCTTCGTTATTCTGTGCCAACATATTTACATTATGTAGTGATGTGAGTTTGCTTTTCAGATGACAGGGAGACCTATACAAGTTGAAACTAATTACACAGACCGGTTTCCATCTGTTGATTCACGCCCACATCGAATGCGTGAATCAGATTCTGTTATTGAGGTAAAATGTTTTCATGATCTGATCCATGTTTTATCTGTTCTGCGTGGAAACATGTTATGCTGTTTGGACTGCATGTTAGTTAATCATTAGGCACTCTTAACATTTCCTTGCTTTTTAGATTGTGTGCCAAGGTCGTGATTCAATGGATGATGAGACAGTGGACCAAACGGAAAAGGATTCTCAAGGAGGTAATAAAGGAGTCCATGATGTTGAGGAGGGGAAGCCGTATCCATCAGATAAGATTAATAATTCTGCCCATAACTCAAATTCGGTGATAAAGACAGAACATAAGAGACAGCTACCAGTTTCATCTGAAAGTGATATGTTATCCACGGATGTCAATGCTCATTCCCCTCCCAGCGACAAAACAAGACGTTCTCCTCGTGGAGCAAGGTATGCCGTACTGTTGAAATATGCACATAGAATATCACATTATTTGGTTCATGTTTTTATGACTCCTGTTGTGTTATTTCCTTGATGAGGTCGTTGCACATACTGCTCATCTTACTCATAGATTCTCATTTTACGCGGGCGTTGGTATCATATTTAAACAAACTGATCAACTGTGCTGCCTGCTGTAACATTGCTGCTCTGTTTGGGAGCGTAGCTGGGCTCAAAGTTATTGGGGTAGGACAGTGGTTATGGCTACAGCTGAAACATCTGAAGCCAAAAGAGCGAACTGATTTGGGCAACTAAAATTTGGACCTGAAAGAGCCTTCTTAATTGTGTCATGTGGTGATTCAAGTTCAAGACGCATGCGCAACATGGATATGCAGCAGCGCAAGGATCAAACCAGGCCTATTTGCAGATTAGTTAGTTAGTGGGTTTGAATATTTAGGGTTTGGCTTTAGGAGATTGGTTGACTAGGATTGATTAGCTTGTTAGGAACTTTGGGAGATCGATCAGGAGATGTCATCAGTGCCCTATATAAACCTATGGATGGTGTAGGCAAAGATTTAACTCCAATTAACCCTATCTCCCACTCTGTTCCTGCCTCGAGGGTGTGATAAGCTGACCATGGCCCAGCCGTCACACCATCGAGGTCCAGGGTCACGCCCACCCCACAACTATGCCCTATGCCATCGCCATCCACCTCCCTCCAATGTGGAAAAAAATTCTATGCGTGTGTGCCGCACGGCGACTTTCGTACAGCACCGCCCGCGCGCATGACGCGTGTCCCTCGGCCCACTGCGCGCATGGCTTCGTGGCTCGCTCGTTTCCCTCCGAAGCCGGATGCGCGGGTTGCACGTTCCGTCGGCTGGTGGGGCTGCATCGAGATTATCACGGAAGGACACGTGGACGGCTATTGGGTGGTGCTGTACGGAAGTCGCCGTGCGGCACGCACGCATAGAATTTTTTTCCTCCAATGTCGTCCCCCCTACATCACAAATTGTTCAGTATTTTCAATTCCACATAGACAACGCAGTGGTAAAATCTCATGATTTTCAGTCGTACATGGGATAGAACATAGTACATATGCTGTCACACAAGAATCTACACTACAATTTTTCTTCTCCAGAAGATGGCACAAGTTAATAAATTTATGAACAAACGGTACAAACCTTTTCTACTGATAGTCTGATACAAAGTGTTCTTCCTTTAGATGTTATGGCCTTCTATAAGTAATGAAAAGTGGGGAAAATAGTGGTCTTCTTTAATTAGTGACAAGTAAACACTAAATGGTTGATGTTCTTTAAGGAAAAATATTGAAAGAAAAATGGGAAAAGTCTATTTTACTACCATGAATAATTCACTTTGCCAGCTTGACCCTCAAAATTTTGGCTCACTTAACTCCCCTCTATTTGAAATTGTCCAATCTAATCCCTAATTAGAATTTTCTTATACATCTATCCTCATAAGATTTGAATTTAGGTTCAAATTGGATTTGAATTTGAGGTTCAAATTTTGCGGGGTCATAGCTGACATCATACATTATAAAGGACGTACCCAGTGCAGAGAGCTCCCGCTCTGTGCGGGGTTTGGGGAAGGGTGTCAGTGGCAAGCCTTACCCTCGCCTGTGCAATGCGAGGAGACCGCGACTCGAACCCGGGACCTTCTGGTCACAGGCGGCGCTTGCACCAGGCCCGCCCTTCTGACATCATACATTATGCTGTAAAACATTAAAAACATATATGTTTTCTAATAATTATTTTCAAAGGGAGGGAGGGAGATGTCTCTGTTTCCTTCTTCTGTATTTGTCTTATGTTTTCGTTGCTCCATTTGCTTTAGTATCTCTTAAACAGTGTGCCTTCATCCTTCCATTTTCGTTGAAGTTGTATTTCTAACACTTGCCCAAATTATTTATCTTAAGGTCATTGAAAGGAAGCTCACTGGGTCAGAACTCTATTCGAGAAATTGAAAGCTCCAATGAAGTAATACCTCGTCAGTCATCTTCAAAGAGACGCCATGATTCCCAGAAAGAGAACCTTGTTGAGGGCTCAGAAAATAAGGGTGATTCAGAAGGGTCACTTGCTGCTAATGATGACGTGACAGATAAACTGAGTACAGAAGATCATTTTGATGGTGATGGTGGTGATGATGATGATGATAAGCTCGCATTGGTTGGTAGTGTTGAAGTGGATGGTGATGATGCTACCTCAGACCCCAACACGCCTAGTGATGCAAATGAGGATGATAACCTGGTTCACTCTGATAAAAAGCAGAAACATATATCTGTGGTTGAGCAACCTACTGGACACAATAGCAGTGAACCTGATGAATTGAAGACTAGTGAAAATAGTAAAGGGAGGTCTGGTAGCAGCAAAGATCAGCTGAAACGCCTTGAATCTGGTGAAGAAGTTCTTCAAGATAGGCAATCAAGGAGAGTAAATAATGTAAGAAGGCATCATGACGCGGAAGAACGCAACCTCCACCGAAAAGATGAGTACTCACGAGATGTAAAATCAGATTTGGAAAGATCACATTTACCCTCCAGAGGCAGGGAAGATATCCACCAATCTTACGCAAACAGAGATCGGGTTGACACGCGGGGCAGGAGTTATGATAGGGTAAGAGAGACAGAAAATTGGCCAAGGAGAGATGATGGCGCTCACAGCCGACGTGCTAAAGAGGAAGATTTGAGGCTAGAGTACAATGTTGAAGGTGGTGCAAGGCAAAGAAATAAGGTGAGGCCCATTGATAGGAATGATAGAGATGAAGATCATTCACGGAAGCGTTTGGATGATGGCGACTGGAGAGGCTCTCGACAAAGAGAGCGTGGTGATGTGGTTTTGAATCGCCGCGAAAGTGACGATTCTCATATAAAGAGAAATAAGGACGATGAGAACTTGCGGAGATTGAAGCCTGAAAATGAAGATGTGGTCGTGGCGCACGGTTATAGGGCAAGGGATGATAATAACAGAAGAAAAAAAGAGAGGGATGATGGAATTGATCAGAAAAGACGAGATGATAGTGGTAGACTGCGGGAGAAGGCTGATGATCGTTATCATGCCAAACAGAAGGATGGCAGCTGGAGACAAAGAGAAAGGGAGGATAGACAGAGGCCCAAGCATGAAAATGCATTAACCGTTCAGAGGGAAGAAGGAAGAGGAACCGGCCGGGGTAGTCGGATGATGGATGATAAATTAGTCAGTGGTGGTAGGAAGAAGGATGAACCAAGATCTTCTGTATTAAGCAAAGATACTCAAGAACGTACCAGGCAAAATGAACCTTCGAGGAGAGGTCAGGGTGTGGAAGAATACAACGTACAGAATAAAGGGCGTTCTGATATACATCCACGTGATGACAATTCAAACAGTGAGAGGAACTCCAGGCAAGAAAAACAAAACAATAATCATCTATCTGGCAGTTCTGATACTCGCCACACAAGTAGAGATAGGCATAGGGAGAGCACAAGAAAGGGCAGAGGTTCCGAGCTTGGTGAGCATGATCTCCACAGATCGAGCAAAAGGAGACGTGAAGATCATGAAAGCCATCGCAGTGGGAAGGTATGAAATTATTTGGAAAGTGGCTCCTAAACGCATGGGCATTATAAATTCAGGCTGTAGTGGAAATATAAAAAGAACACATAAACTGGATTTTGCTTTGTATTATCTTTAAGTGAAAATATATGTATTCTTGATTATGCACATTGCGGGGGGAGGGGGCATGTCTACACATGACGACTGTTTACAGCATATGTGAGTGCATCAGTGTTGGTGTCTTTTCAGTTATCGGGTCATAGTGTTAATTGTTTGCATTTTTTTTGTGGTAAAAAGGAGGTCAAATGTCCTGATATGTTAGCATCCAATTTTCTTGTAAATGCACTTAGTGAGTACTTAGATATGTTGTATAATTTGTAGTAGTACTACAGTGGCCGCGCATTGCAACACATCTCAATATATATCTTCTTTAGCTTTAACAACAAGATAGTGACACGTGTAGTATGTTGCCTATGTTTGGCATGGTAACTTTTTATATTGAATTAATTTTAAGCAAGAAACACTGCCAGTAGAGTGGTAGGTATGTGGTGACCTGATGTATTGTATGCATCATTCGTTATTTAACCTTGAAGACTCCACGTAAAATAAGCTCACCTTAGCATCTATTGGTTCTACCATAGGGTTCAGGTTACTAACATAACACGGGACAGGCACCCAAATAGCGACAAATACATTAATTTGCAACCGGGTAAGCTCACCTAAAGCAAGTAATTTGTACAATACTAAAATAGAACTCCTTTAAAATGTATAACTCCAAAGACTAGTTTTTTTAGGGTTCCATCCCGTAAGGTCATTTGAAAGCAAATTTAATATGATAATATACGCACCACTTTGAGGTCAAGTAATGGCTGTTACAGTATTCAGACATGCATACACTCACCAAGGCGGACCAGTTCATGGGCTTGCTTGTTTGTTACATTTGTGAACTTGAGTGTGCATGCTTCCATTTCACTAAGATCTGTCTCATTAAGGTACCTCACATAAAGAGGCTATATTTGCTGTGGTAAATTAAGCCGTGTACTTATGAGTTGCATCAATCTCTCTTGCACCCTGTATGGAATACTGATATTGTCAACCAGCCCTACTGCTGCAAAACAAGCTATAACCAGTCATATGTAAATAGCACCTGTCAGGCTGTCACGCGGGCTCTGTGTCTCTTGTAATTGCATGTTGTAGTCAGTATACCAATGCATCTCGAGTAAGGTATGGGCAAACATAGTTCCTTTTTAGGAATGCATACCTACTGGTGGCCTTTTATTGAAACACTTGTTTTTGTCGCAGGCTTGCAGTCGCAGCTTAACTCTTCTACACATGAACCCAATAGAACGTCTGTCTTATGGTCTTTTACACATCAGATTAGTAGATTCTCTAGTTTATGCAATTTTACGGCTTCCTAGGGCTTACACCATTTGAGACTATTGTCAATTAAAAAAACATCATTAGGCTTCACAAGATAGCTTTGGTGTACTGCGCACTTTTTCCTGCTCATTTACTATGGAATTTGTATGATTTAATAATTGATGAATCAGGTGATGTGCGCAAAATTAGACAACTTGGAAGGACTACTTTTGCACTTCACCTAGAAAATGGAGTAAAAAGGGGACCACTTAAGTAGATACAGGAATGAACTAGTATCCATGCTTCTAGTAGAAGTGGCCATCAATTACAGTGTTGCAATGGTTGGCAGATGGGAGGAGTCATTGTTGGACACGACAAAAGATAGAATCATTGTAGATGAACATCTTCTGGGAACGAGCACATAGGCACACATTATTATCTAATGATTTTTTAGTGGCTGTTTGGAGATCTTACCCCTGTGGGCTCGGCAAACTATGTGCACAGTAAACCTGTGAGTTCTATTGTTTGTTCGTATACTTTTGGAATGTTAGTTCCCCCCTTTTTCTATCAGGCAATGTAAACAAACCTGTTGAGTGGTGCCTTGCTCCATCTGTCCCCATGTTTGCTTATAACACAGTTGAATTTGTTGCAAAGGCCGAAGATGGATACAAAATTTAAACTGAGCTGCTAATACTAAGTTGCAAACTGAGCCAACATGCATGTGTTTAATGATCTGAAAAGCGCAGACTATATCATGATCTGTTGTATAACTACGAAATATTCCAGGATTTCTTAATTACTCCCTCCATTTCAAATTATAAGACGTTTTTGGCTTTTTTAGTTACATAGCTTTTGCTATGCACTTAGATATAGACTATGTCTAGATACATAGTAAAAGTTATGTATCTAGAAAAGCCAAAATGTCTTATAATTTGGAATGGAGGGAGTACATTGCACATACATGTATCACATGGTTAAAATTCGTATTAAGTTCCCTTCATAGCTCTGGTTGTGGTGTAGTAAGCGCAATAGTCCTTTTTTGTACAGTAGTGGGCGTGATCCTTGGGATTTATATGCGGTGAGCAACTATGTCTCTACAAAATAAAAACCATCCGCACACAACTCTGGTATAGCTGATGTGTGGAAGTAAATTTACTACGTTCCAAATTGTAGGTTGTTCTGGCTTTTCTAGATACATAGCTTAGACATAGTGTATACCAGATGCATAGCAACAGCTACGTGCCTAGAAAAGCCAAAACAACTTACTATTTGGAATGGAGGAGTATTTTGTGGTTTAATATACTTTTGGAGAATGCTCTTTTGGTCATATTTGTCCCTCAACAGTTACAATAACTCTGTATATAGGTTGAAACAAAAGAAGTGAATGAACAAGAGAGTAGTAGAGGTCATGCAACATTATCCAAGAAGAGCCAGAATCATCAGCCAGATAATTCATTGGTGAATCAAGTGGAAGAAGACGCCATATCAAATGATGAAAACCATGAGGATTCTAGAAGGGGTCGCTCTAAGTTGGAGCGATGGACAAGCCACAAAGAGATAGAATATAGTAATATCGATGATGATAGTACACAGACATTTCCGACCATCAAAGCTGATGTTGAAGCCGATGAGGTAGGTAAATCTGAAGTTTCTGCTGCAGCTGGCAACTCAGACATCAATAGCAATGTTGATACTGGGCAGACATCTGATAAGATGACTGAAGAGCGTGAGCGTGACCGACATCTAGACACAGTTGAGAGGCTCAAGAGACGAAGTGAGCGTTTCAAGCTTCCCATGCCTGGCGAGAAGGATGCACCTCAAAGCAAAAAGGTGGATACCGAAGTGCAGCCTCCCCAAAATGAATCTGCTGCTGCTGATATGGAAGTGAAGCCAGAGCGGCCAGCTCGCAAGAGGAGATGGACTGGGAGTTAGTTGAACTGGAACAACATTTCCACTTTTAAGAAGTATCAGCAGATTTCATGACAGATGCTTGCACTTCGCCATGTTTTTTCCTCTTACAGTTGAAAGTTCAATTGATGTATGGTTTTACTGTTTAACTTATACCTGTACGTGTAAATTTAGTTGTTTTGTGGCTGGGAACTGGATACTGTACTAAAACTCCATCCATTTTCCCACTATGATTCCGGATTCTGGTGACCTTGTGTGGCACAGATGCCACTGTACTCCGGATAGTTCCGAGGCTGTTATGAGAAGCAGTGGCCTCGGAGTTTCCCAGTTGAATATCTGGGTTCGGCATGAGCTACATTTTGAAGAAGCTGGAGTGCCCCTGCTGCAAGTTGCTTTTGTTTGAAGTGCAGGTGGCCTGGAAGCACTGTCTTGTAACAATCTTGTGCTGGTGGGAGATACTTGCAAGCTGTGGTGGTTGAATGTTTGGCATGTGATGCTGTTTTAGGGAGCAGTAGATGATAGAAACCAAGGGCTAGAGATTTTAGAACTGATATGATCACAAATTTGTATGCTTAATACTATATTAGTCATGTACATTCTGATTCTGATAAACATATAACTGCCGTGCATGATTTACTGAGTAAGGTGGACTGTAGTGTAGAGCTGCACTGGACATATTGGATCGAGCAATACATATATACATATATATACTGCCTGTAGGCAGTGCTAGGTTAAATGGATATGATTGTTTGCTTGTTGTAGATTTGCGATGTATGTAACTGGTTGATGTCGAATTTTGCTAATCATATAGAGTTTTGAATGGCACAATCAAAATTCATTGAAATTTTGCTTGCTATATCTGTACTGTTTGGGAAGTTACCCGCACGCCCACGAGTTGTGATACGTGGCGCGGCATCCTGATCCCGCCACCAGAAATGTGAGGTTCGTGCACACCATGTAAAAATTCCTCTGCTCACAGAATCTTTGGCTTCACCTTTTTTTCTCGATTGGGTGTTGTGCCCGTTTGTCATTAAGAGGAAATGGAGTTTGCCAAGCTTACAAGTGCGTTGGGCAATGGTGACGAGGAGCCAGCATTCCCACACCGCTGCAACCTAACTACTGGATACATTGAGAGGTATTACATGTCTTCACCTCAAGTACAAATCTGTTCGTGTATACATGGAGCTCACAGAATCTTTGGCAATCGACATAACATAGCCACATACCGATGGTCCAGACATAAGACGTTCATATTCGCCGCCCAAATCCTCGAGCTAGTGAACTGGGACACAAATCCTCGAGCTAGTGAACTAGGACAACAAAGTTGGCGAGCATGTACGAGGTCGCGAGCGCGCACAACGGAGATGGTGGCGGCGGTGGCTAAGGACACTGACGAGCTTTGTGGTGGAGAGAGAGTTAGAGACGTGACGATTGTGGAACTATGATAGGGTTTTGTTCCGAGTCAGGTGAGATGTGAGTTTTTCATCCTGATCTGATGATGGATGGTGTATGAACCATGGTGTTGGGGACTGACCGACAAGTTGAACTGGACACGAAGATGAGTTGGCGAGCATGATGGGTTGCTATTAGAAGAAGGGTTTTGAGGATTTGTTGCAACACATTTCCTAATAGTGTAAAATAGTGTTAGGCCAACCCCATTCGCATCTTATTGGTAGCTGTACTAGAGCTGCTAGAGATGCTCTAACCTCCCGTTAGAAAAATGGACGTAGAGTAAACCAAGGTTGGGCAACGGCGCAGTGGTGATGGAGCACGAGCACGCGTGCGAATATATACTCACTTTGTCTTAAAGTAGTGCACATCTCGTACTTTAATGAGTCAACTAATTTCTAGTTTAATTAGATTTATATAAAAAATAGTTATGAATACTTGCATATATATATCCAAACAGATCTATTATAAAAATATATGACATGATTCATCTAACGATTTTTGTTTAGTAACATAATTATTAGTACTTTTTGATATATATTTGATTAAATTTGATACTGGTTGCGGACTTTTATTTGTAGATCGGGGTGGGGGGGGTTGTATATACAGATACGAAGTCCCTTGGTCTCCTTCTAGAAGTCTGCCCTCGTGCAAAATGGCAATGCTGGCGCGCTTTTTTTTTCTCCTTTTTTTTTAAGAGACTAGCGCGCTTCTAGACGGAGGCGCCGGCCGGATCGGCCATTGCTGCCACGGCGTCGCCGTCAGCATCAGCCGCGCTGTTTCGTCTGCGCCGCATTATCCACCTAATAACGATGCCAAGTACCACCTAATAGCTAACACTACGTGAATCCATCGATTAGTGCCCAACCCATTTAGGTACGTATCTGATCTGGTCCCGCCTGTGAGGCCCCCGCCAGAGCCTATAACGGTGCATGTAGTAGCGCATATTCGTATACTGTATACTACCCCATCCGTTCTAAAATTATAGTAAGATGTATACTGCTCCGTCCGTTTTGCATTTTCTAGATACATCGTTTTTATATATATATATATATATATATATATATATATATATATAGGCAACTAGCATATATATATATATATAAAATATAATTTGAAATGAGAAAAATACTATTTTCATTCTTCTTTCTCTGTCTTTTGTAATGCACTTGATATTTTGGAATAAGTCCGACCAGAGGATGCTGCCCCCGGCGGCGACTTCCGGATGAGCGTGCGCAGCGTGCTCTCACTCGCTTTGTTCCAGCGCCGGCCGGAGGCGATGCCTGCGGAAGGGAAGACGACACTGCACGAGCTAAACCAAGGAACCAATCATCATGCCCGCCCAGAGATTGAACAAGAATAAAATGATAGCACACCAACAAATAACAATTTTCTAAAAAAACCAACAAATAACAATTTTCTAAAAAAACAACAAATAATAATCAGCTTACATGTCCAACGAATGTATTTATTTTCCCACTCAACCAACTCTTCATGCCCGGACAGAGATTAAAATGCCAGCACACCAACAAATAAATGACTTCAACTCAGAATGCCGGTCTGGAACGAACGAAAGCTCCTCTTCGTGTTGGCTGTGACAAAGCCGCAACTTGCTGGCGAATAGCTATATGGTCCTAGATCATCCGAAGACATTCTCCGAACTCCTGGCTTGTTGGCCAACACCCAAGCCTCGGCCCTGGTCAGGCTTGCGAGGAAGCCGTTGACGTCAAATGTGTAGCAGTGGAGGAGACGTGGCTCCCCGGAGTCGATGAGGGTGCTTGGAAGAAACGACTCGTACCAGCGACGCCGCGCATCCTTGTCGTCCATGGCGTCGCCGTTCGGGTGCTTCCGAAGCAACACCTGACATGTTTGGTATTTTCTGCCGCCCCGGGGCCTTTGGAGGTTGAGGTAGCCCTTGAAGGTTTCGTATTCTCTATCGTCGTCCCAGGTGCTTTGGATTTTGCCATAGCTCCTGCTGCGTGCATGCACGGGGAATGATGCAGCAGAGAAGAAGAGGAGGAGGATGGCCACCACCACGCTGACAGACACCTTCTTGGCAGGAAGTGCCATGGTCAGCCGCCGGGACGACGAAGCTCCTGCTTGTCCTTCCTTCCGTTTGGATCTGTAATTATTTCTACGTGGTGTACCCTATTACATATAGCGAGAATTGATTGAGAAGACAAACGCAAATCAAATACAGTATGACTCTGGCAATTTTGATACGTTTCCAAATCAAATCAAATAAAATCTCTGGCAATTTTGATAGAGACCTTTCCCACGAGATCACCAGATTTGCCGCGCCCGCGCCGGATGGGCTAGCTGCAGGTTAGGAGAGGAGGGAGCTGGTCTAGGGATGAGGATGAAGCGGCGGGGACAGGGGGAGAGAGAGAGAGAGTGAGTTTACCCCGGGGCCGGGGGAGCAGCAGCTGAGAAGTGAGAACCATGGGCCGGCCGGGCCTCGCGGCCACCGCGAGCGAGCCGATGCATGCCTTTCGCAGGACGGGGACAGGCGGACGGCGGACGGCTCCGGGCTGGCTGCGTGCTGTGTTGCCGTCAGGCGTGGACTCGGCACGCGCCGGCGCTCATCTCCCACGGGTCGGAGCGCCTCTGCCCTCCCCGCTCCACCGGCCACAATTTGGCGAGTGATCCGACGCATCTTTCGTTTTCCTTTTCCTTCAACGGCTTCCAAGTTCCAACAATCATCGTGTGTTCAAGTGGCCTGTGTCTGTGTGGGCAACGTGCCTGCCTCTGCCTAGGCCCGCCGCGTGATTGAAACCAACCCACGGCGGAGGGGCCGCGAGGATCACCCAAAAATAGGTGCCCGTACCAAGGCAGCGTGTGCCGGCATGCGCTGGCACAGGTTTCCTGGCGGCGCGCGGCAAAGCATTTTTTTTCACATCAGATGGCAGCGTGATTACTAGTAGTAACAAATTGTTCGCCCTGTTGCTTGCGTACTCAAACCTATACCGCTGTACCAAGGCCTTGTTTAGTTCCTTCTTATAGAGTTTACTCCCTATCTTATCGAATATTTGACATATTCATGGAGTATTAAATATAGACTAAAAAATAATTAATTGCATAGTTTGCGATTAATTTGCGAGACGAATCTTTTAAGTCTAATTAGTCCATGATTTGACAATGTGGTGTTACAGTACACACTTGCGTTAACGATGGATTAATTAGGTTTAATAAATTCGTCTCGTAGATTACTGACGGATTCTGTAATTTTTTTTATTAGTATCCGAACATCCCATGCGACATCCTCATGTGACACACGACGTGACACCCAAAATTTTACGCTCTGAATTTAAACAAGGCCTCAGCTAGATTCCCATGTCACATGGTCCAATACGTTTTCATTGTCAGCCATATATCCTCGGTGACAACAGCAAAACCGGCGCCTTCCTGCGCACCCGGTCTTCTTCGGTTCGGTCTCCTCTCTCCTCCCACGGGTCGGCACGTACTGACATGGGCTCAGGCTCCCGTTTCCAAAAGCGCCTCCCCACAGTACACATAGCCCACGGGTTTCCCCAAAAACCTTGAGCCTTTTCCCTATGTGCCATTTATGAAAGATGCTACATTCTTACGTGCCACTAAAAAACTTGGACCCTGGCGCTATGATGCTAAACACTTTTGTCCAGCATGCCATTCTGTCTCCATTTTGTTTTGTTTTGACCGTTTGTCAGCTCTTACATGTGGGACCGGGCAGAAAAAATGTCCATGTTGCCCTTTCAGTCATGGGCATATGTGGAGGCTGTGTTGACCGATATTAACCCGCATCTCCCTCAGTCTCTCACTCTCTCTTCTCGCTCGACTCCCTCAGTTCCCTGACCCTAGTGGCGACGGAGGCTGTAGCGGCGGCTGGGAGAGAAGACGACGAATCCCCCGTGCTTGTGGCGGCGCATGGGGTAATGGAGCGTGGATTGGACCGTGGATCCAGAGGATAGGCGTGGCATGGCGGGGAACAAGGGCGTGGGCGAGCGAACGGATTGGCTTCCGGACGAGTGAGTTCACTGCTTCCCCTTGGTTTCATGGTGCCCCGTGTTTGTAGTGTTGATTGCGTGCTCCTTGTTCATCTGTAGGATGGACGCAGAAAGTAGCTACAACTTAGAAATCCGGATTATTGCTCCCAATTCTCGTGCGCGGTGGTTTTCGTTGAACAAAATCATGGATGCTAACCGCACTAACTTCACAGACCTGATTGCTGAAGTTGTCGACAAGTATCCTCATAACTACGGTGATATAGTGAGATTGTTTTATTTCTGCATGGATAGTAAAGTGAACATCAAGTCTGCACTGACCAAGATTTGGTTGAAATATTTGCAAAACATAAGGCTTTCAAATGCTGCTTGTTGATTGTTGCATATCATAGCCCAAGTAGTGAGCCCCCTGTGATTCCTGATTGGGATTCTGGTAGCACTGTGAACTCTGTTGAACCCCCATTCACCCCTTCAATTGCTTGTCCAAGCTTAGCAGAACCAAACCATGCCACACACACTCAATCTGTTGAACCTAAATACCTGGCTAACCCAAACCCAATGAATGAGCATGTGTGTGTTGAGAGGAAGGGTTGTATATTGACCTTGGTCCCCAATACCCCCCACCTCCTCCCAATCCTAGAGCCAAGGTGAAAGTAAAGAATGGGAAGGTGAGAGTTCTGGTGCTGATGAATCCTCTGAGACAGACTCTGATGATGAATCCTCTGATGATGAAGTAGAAGACATAGATGATATGGTTAAAGATAGAGAGCCTGAACATATGCCTGATGTTGATTATAACAAGAAGGACCCTCCTATGTCAGTAGGAACAATGTATTCAGACATGGATGCTTTTAAGATTTTCTTAAGCTACTCATGCTGTTAAACATGAGTTCAACTATGACATTAAGAAGAATGATATAGGGAGGTATAGGGTGAACTGCTCACAGTCAGAATGAGGGATGCAGGTGGAGACTTCATGCCTCAACTCTAAGGGATGGGCACACTATTAAGGTAATGTGTTAGTACATTGTTTTCATTGTCTGCTCCCTGTTTTTCTTGCATTGTGTGGCTTATAATAAGTGCATTACTTGACTGTTTTGTAGGTGAAAAGGAAGCCCTACCCTCATGAGTGTCAGAGCACTAGGAGGTAAGGAATCTGTGTAGGGGTAACACAGTTATGGGTGTGCAGTCAGGTGATTGATTGGCTGAAGGAAGATGGAACTCTAGGTGCAACAAAACTGCAAAGGAGGTTGAAGGATGTACACAAAATTATGGTACCCTACAAGAGAGTGTATAAAGGTAAAAATCTTGCCATGGATAAGATTTATGGGTCTTGAGGCAAAAGTTTTGATAACATGTATAGGCTTAAGGTCCAGTTAGAAGAATCAAGTCCTGGATCATTTCTTGTCATTGATAATCACACCATCAATAATAAGATCAGGTTCAATAGGCTATTCTTTGCACTGAAACCATGTGTTGATGGATTTCTTAGAGGTTGTAGACCATATCTTGCAGTAGATAGCACATTTTTAACAGGAAGGTTTAAGGGACAGTTGTGCATTGCTTGTGCAATAGATGGGCACAACTAGATGTATCCAGTAGCTGTTGGTGTAATTAACTCAGAAACCAATAAAAATTGGGTGTGGTTTATGGAGAGGTTGAAGAAAGGAATAGGCACTCCAGAGGGCTTGACATTCTTCACGGATTTGTGGCCAGGCAGTCATGAATGGGGTTAGTGAAGTTTTTTCAAATGCTGAACATAGAGAGTGTATGTATCACTTAGTACATAATTTCAAGAAGAGATATAGTGGAAAGGTATTTGATGATCTCTTGTGGGCTTCTTCATATTCATGGAGCCCTTACATGTTTGAGAAGCACTATCAAGTAATGGCTGCAGCCAAACCTAAGGCAATGAAGTATCTACAAGAAACTCACAAGAAACTTTGGACCAGGAGCCAGTACAGGACATTGTCAAAGGTTGATTATGTGACTAATAATTTGGCCGAGTCATTCAATAATTGGATCAAGCCTGAGAAGATAAAGCACATGTATGACTTGCTGGACACTATAAGACAGAAGATTTTGATCAAATGGAACCATAGAAAGAAGGTAGCTAAGAAGTTGAAAGGAAAGATTCTGCCTCACATCCTGCAGAAGCTAAGGGAAGACAGTTACAACCTAGACATTGAAGTGATCATAGCCTCCCCTGATGGTGTGGCAGAACTGTGTGCTAAGGAAGATAGTGGCTTTAGGTTTGTGGTCAGCCTACCTGACAAAATCTGTTTCTGTAGGGTTTGGCAGGGGTCAGGAATCCCATGCAAGCATGCAATAGCCTACATTACTTCAATTCCTGGTAAAAACTAGAAGACCATGTGGATGATTACTTCTCTATCAACAAATTTAGAGTTGCATATAAGGGTTTCATCCCTTGTATTCCTGATAAAAGCATGTGGCTCAAAACTACTCTTGGTTTTTTCATACACCCTCTTTATCTTTGGTCCACATGAGGTAAAAGGAAGAATATGATGAAATAATCACTTGAGGGAGGTAGCAGCAAGAAGAGTGCAAAAAAATATGAGTGCCCCATCTACCATGAGTTAGGGCATCACTGGTACACTTGCAAAATAGAAATCCAAAAGATATAGCTGCAATGGAGGCTGAAAGGTAAACTATGTAACTAAATTATTTTGCAGATACATGTACAGCTTCAATAACTTAGTTAACTAATGTAACTTTTCATATGCAGGGGTCTTCCAAAGAAAAGGCTAAAAAAAGCAGCAAGCTGTAACACAAAGAGTAGGATTATGGTTGCTACTCCATCCCAGATGGTGTTCCCACACAATGAGGCAGTGGTCAATGCTACAGACCAGAAAAGAAAGAGGAAATCTTCTTCTTCTTGTTGTGCCAAGAAGAGCAAGGGGGCAGCTACCACTACTAGTTCAAGCTCAGGTCCAAATAGTATGTCTAACAGGTATGTTTACCAGATCTTCAATTGATCATAGCACTTATATTATTTTCAATCCAAACTATGCACATGGCCTTTTTTCATGAAGACTCCATTACAATAGAGATAGAGCCACTAGAAATTGTGCTGCCCCAGGCTTCACCAAGGAGGAAGATATGGATCAAAAAGAAGCTTACACCAAAGAAGCTCCAGGTTGCAGCAACCAGCCCAGCCAGCCCTTCTTCAAATACCAGAAGCAAGAAGAAGCTCCAGTTGTAGTGAAAGGTGCCTGCTCAATGTTCTTTTGATGATGTGGTTCTAGAACAACATCTGCTATGTGATGGCACGACTGTTCTTTTGCTCTGTGATAAATGTTTTGTGATGGCATGACAATACTTAGTTGTAGATGAAAACCAATAACTTAGCTGTTATGTGATGAATGTTGGTGACATGAAACCTTTGTGATGAAAAACAGTAAGGTAGCTGTTGTTATGTGATGAATGTTTGTTTACTGTTGCAGTACTCTAATTGTTGTTATATTGTTCTCATATGTTCGTTGCATTCTGGACAAATGAACAATCTTCATATTCATCATTTAACATTAATTCATTCATTCATCTATCCATCCATCCCTAATAAGGCTCAAGTTGGATAAGTTGCAACAGATAGGGTTGAAGACCTATATATATAGGAGAAGCCCATGGGCTTAGTTGGCGCCAATAACCCTGGCTTTAGCGCCAAAACGTTCGGCCTGAGGCTGGTCTAGGAATGGCACAAAACAAACCAACTAGTTCATGGAGCCTCTCAAATTTAAGGATATCTAAGTCATTTGGCTGCGCCGTTAACCACCGTTAGGAGTAAAATTGAACGGAATAACATGTTGGACAAAAGAGTTTAGCGTCATGTCACCAGAATCCATGTAAACTTTTTAATGGCATGTAGAAATAGAACATCTTTCTTAATAACACACGGAAAAAGGCTCGAAAACCTCGGCACACCAGTACACCACCCACCGTAACCGATCGTCATCTAGCCCTCGTTTTCGAAAGCGGATCACCTTCCAATCCGATCCGCGCGCGCCTATAAATTTCCCGGCACACCGCACACGCCAGCCCGGAACCGGCAACTCGTTAATCGTTATAGTGAGCGAATCAGAGATTCATCAGAGAGTAGCGATGGCCCCGAGCGCGTCGATGCTGTTCCTGAGCTACCACCAGCTCCACAGCAGGCCGACGGAGGCGGGGGCGCCGCCGCGCCGCAGGGAGGAGGAGGGTGCCCCCAGCGGCGGCTTCCGGATGAGCGTGCGCAGCGTGCTCTCACTCGCCTTGTTCCAGCGGCGGCCGGAGGCGGAGGGGAAGGCGACGACACTGCACGAGCGCGACGCCGGCGAGGAGGTCAAGCCGGCGGCGGCGGCCGCCGACGCTAATAAGGAGCTGGAACGCAAGTTCGAGGAGGCGCTGCGGCTCAGCTGCTGGTCTTCGTGAGCATCCATCGCGGAGGAACGGATCGGAGACAGTGCGTGCCGCCGGCTGAATCGAAGCGACCTCCTTTTCTGCTGTGTTCTTGGACTATGCTAGTAGTACATGTATATAGATTTAGTTTCTCTCTGTTGATATGTGCAAATCCTTTCATTGGAACCTTGCTAATAGCTACCGTTGTCGTGATGAACCAAGTTGGACTATGCTAGTAGTATATATGTAGATAAATTAAGATTGTCTTGTTGACAGACGCAACAGTTCTTGTATAACCTCTCTTCCCCAACTTAGCTCTTCAAGCCTTGCTTTTTAAGTCAATCAAGGCGGGGAAGCTCTCCCGTCCGTAGTTTACTTTTTTTTTTTTACAAAAAAGACAGATGCAACAGTTTAAGCTGTATATGTCATGATGAACCAAGTTGGCACTACAAAATGTTGGATTCAAAATTTCAAATTGTGCCAAGACAATTACCCTGCAGGGGACATTAAGGGGATATTGACTCAACCTAAAAATGCACGGTCAGTTTATGATGATTGAAATCATAAACAGCACGACAATTAACCCTTCCATTACATGTGATTTACTCAGCCCTTGTTTAGTTTCACCTCAAAATCCCGACGATATATGTCACATCAAATGTTTGCCCTTCCATTTACATGTGCAGTTTGATGGGAATTTACGTTTGAGCCTAATTAGTCAGGTGCCAAATAAAAACGAATTATGGCCGTATTATGGCCGTACGGGTACGGGGCGTCAGAACCGATTAGCCCAGCAGGCCAGAACTCTTCAACGGTCCGTTTCTTACACAGTTCTGTATGCGTTGACAAAATTGATATGGAAAATGTAATTCGAATCAATATTTAGGCCTGGCACACGAAACCCAGATAGCAATCAGTATGCGTTGACATAGCCCCGTTCGCTTTGCTGAAAAAACAAGCCGAAACACTATTCCGGCTGATTTGTTGGGAGAGAAAAATACTGTTCCGGCTGAAAAAACAAGCTGAAAAAGACGGATTATAAGAGAAGTGAGCATAGCCTATTGATATGGATGATCCACATGCAGACTTAAAAAATTACAATCATATAATGTATTTCAAAGAGTATAATTTAATATTTTGGAGACATGATACTTGTTCAAAAAAATATTTTGGAGACATGATCCCGTATTAGCTTTTGATTTCCATCACTCTCGCCTACCAAACAATGCGTTAGGGATGCTACCATGGAAGGTGTTCACTTAGCTAAGAGGACGGGAGGTTGGGGTTGCATGGAGGCCTCGACCACAGCATCACTTGGTGGATCCATGAGCGCGTTGTCGAATATATGGATCGAGGGTACTTCACCATCCGTATATCCGTACCATGCTTGCCTACCAGGCCGAAGACAACGAGCAATGAGGCCCACACATGCCGGGCACATCTACAGACTTCAAGATCAAATCATTCCGTGGATATCCGACGCCGTCATATCTTGGCGATTGGATAAAATCATTCAGTTATACTTTTTATATAACAAACTAAGAAACACATATGTAGTGAATTTGTTGTAACCCTATCCTGGACTATATAAGGAACTCTCAATTAGGATCCAATCCTTGAGAGCTAGTTCAAACTTAACGTAGGGCACCACGTGCTAGAATCAGTATAATCCCGTGTCTTGTGTGCTACACCAAGCTGCTGGTCTTCGTGAACATATATAACGGAGAGACGCCCGCCGGTCGCCGGATCGAGCGAATGAAGGGGGCATGTTGATACTTGATAGTTTCCTTTTTTTTTTTTACTCTTGTTCTCTTGCGTGCTGGACTATGCCAGTAGTAGGATATGTAAATAGATTTAGATTCTCTCAGTTGATATGTGCAAAATCCTTTCCGTGGAATCCTGCGAGTACCTACTATTCTCGTTTATGGATTAACACTACGACTAGCATTGTAGATAAATAAAGATTCTCTTGTTGACAGATGTATCAGTTTAGGCTAGGTAGGTCATGACGAACCAACTTTGCACTGTGTATCATCAGCATGCTCGTTTTGTCGTAAACGATCGTGGATTATTTACTGCTGGTTGATTTGGTGTGAGAGAAAAATATTGTTTCAACTTATAATCCACGATCGTATACGAGCAAGCGAACATGCTGCATGTTTGGTTGAAGGCTTGGTAGACTAGATCTATCGAACAACATATAAATTCTGCATGTTTGGTTGAAGACTTGGTAGGCTAGGTCTATCGGACAACAAATATATTCAGTTCGAGACGTCAGTAATGCATGCTTGGCGCCTTGGCCTATATGAACCCATCAACCAAATAGGCCCTGCGAATTTAAATTGAGCTGGACAATTATCTTGGTCTTGTTTGGATGCATATATATATATACTTCAATCCACGTGTATTGAAGTGGATTGAAATAGAATTTAGTTTAATTCTACTTCAATCTACTTCAATATACGTGAATTAAGATGAATACATGCGTATCAAACCAAGACCTCTAAGGGCTGTTTGGAAGCCTAGTTTTGAAGCCCCAAAACCAGCGTAAAATACAAGCCCAATATTTTTTCAGGCCTCGTTGAAAAAGTCTGTTTGGATGCGTCGTAAAACTAATAGGTTTACACCTGTATTGAGGCCTTTTGAGGGGCCATGGCCCCCCCAATAAAAAAAAAAAAATAGTAAACTTAATACAAGCTTTTATTTATATTAAGAGGAAGATTTATAAAATTCTTGTCATATAATTAATATCTTTTGATAATATAATCATTGGATGCGTCACAAGAAACCTAATGAGTTTACACTTAGTTTTTACATGTTGGCTCTTTCTTTTGGTTCCCCCAAAGTATAATTTCGAACAGGCCTGGCTCCGCCGCTAGGCCTTACCCGGAAAAGTAAAATCGCCTCCGCAGCCCACACAAAAAATACGGCGGAAGTCGGGAGGTCTCCGCTGTCGTCGTCCTCTCTCGACGCCCATCAACATCATGCGACTCTTTCTGCTGCCCATCTCTCCATGATTCCCTCCTCGGCTCCCCCTTCTACTTCTCCACTGATCTCTCTTTTCCAGTTCAATCCGCCGCACCAACGATGTTACGGCTCCGATCTGCACTGGCAGCATCGATCCTGACTCTTGCAAACCTGGATCTGGGATCTGCATCAAGCTCATGCAAGGGAGACGAGGCAGTCGCTGCAAGTCCTTGTCGGAGCTTATAATCCTCATTGCAAGCAGTGAGACATTGCTACAGCCTGCAGGGCGACGATGAGGACCTTCAGAAGTTTGATTCAGCGTCACTGATGGCGAACCAACATGGCCAATCATTACCACTGTTCTAGTAATGGTGGGGGCGCCACACAATGGGGGTAACGAACAGGCCAGGCTGCCTGCAGATTGGCTGGAGCATTGGCGATCAACATTTGTTTGTCATATTCCGGTAGCTTCTATGAGGCTGGTGCCTGAGATTGTTTCTACCTCACTGTAATCCAATTATCCAAACAATGAATTACAGGTGGAAATGGATACAAGGGACTTCTTGTGCACAAGATATTACAAGTGTAACAAATTTCAGTTGTAAAAGTTTACTAAGTTGCCAAACAGGCCCTGAGGGAAATTAACGGGATGTATGGTCAATTATTGCCGTTGATGACTGAAATCATAATCAACACGACAATTAACTCTTCCATTACACGTGATTAATCTAAAGGTTATACATAATTGATGTAGATATTATGAGGCTATTTGGGATTGTTCTGCTCCACATTTATAGCTAAACAAGGGCACCTCCACGAAAACTCTTCCTAGAAAAACTTGTTTTTTTAATGTGTAAAGTTGGCATTCCATTACACAATTGAAGCGAGAATCCCATGGAAATTAGACTTGTCGTTGTCACGTCAGCGTTAGAACTGGTTAACTCAGTAGGCCAGCAGCATGGTTGACCTTTGAATGGTCTGTTTCTTTGAGCATCTCCAAGAGATGATCTAAATCTTGAGGTCCAATATTTTTTTAGAAAGACACTCAAAAAAAGTCTCGTATCAAGGGAACAAAAATGTCTCTAAAGTAAGCGTTTGGTTGGGAGTCAAGTGGAGTAAAATGGTCCCGTCTCTAATTTCTGGGACGAAATGAGGACGGGATGATTCTATTTTCTATTTGATTGACAAGGGATGGGATCGACTCATTTTTTGAGAATTACACAGTACAACGCAGACGCCAACACGCACGCACACTCACCCCTATGAATAAACGCATGTAAACCCTACCCCTATGAGCACCTTCGAAGGACTGAGCCAACAGATCTTGAGATTCATGAAGTCACCACAGACGCCTCGCTATCAACAGGGCGTCGCCTACCACTGAAATCATAGCGCCGTTAAATCCTGGAATAAATCCAAGAAAATGCGAACACCCATGCCAAGTCGAGGATCGACTCATTTTGTATTTGATTGAAGGGATAAATAAGAATAGGATAGATGGTGGATTTGGAACCGTTAAGTACTATTTAGTGGGCCCCACTTGCTGTTAGGGATAAATAACTTTCTCATTTTTTTTTTTTCCGGTCGAAACTTATGGTCGAGCGTGCTCAGTGTTATGAAATATTAATGTGGATGTCCATAATCCCTATACCATCAAAGCTATAACCTTCTACTTCAATGGTGTAACTCTCCTAGCATCAATTTTTGTAACGCCATCTCACATGTATGGCTATATATAGGAGGACTTATGTGTTGAAAATAAGACAAGAGAAAAGAGAACATTTCATTTCCTTCCTCTCTAAATTTGTTCTCCACATTCTTACATATATATTCTTGATAGTCAAACTAGTTATTATATAACACATTATCAGCATGCCTGTCTCTAAAAGCTATCAAGAACTAGGTAAGAAATTTTACATTAAGATCATAATGTTATTTTTGTGGTAAGACATTATCATTTGTATTTGTTTTTATATTTTGTTCTTGCACGATTGTTTGAATTTCGTAACCTATATATTTTGTAGTTTACTATGTCGAATCTTGCTAAGCTTGATTTCACGGCTCTA